TATAAATACTAAGATGAGTAACGCCCATACATTTGAATGCGACGCAAAATTTCTAGCCTGGCCTTTCATCTGGCCTTTGAGGCTTCGTACAGCATGCCTGCCGACTGGTTGTTCGTTCTCCAAAAACCAGACGAACGAATGCCGAAGTCGCGGCTTGCTGATGCTGACACGAGCTACGAAGTTAGTCGCCAGCCTGCCTTCAGCAAAGCTGGTCGATGCTGATTTGCGTCGCTTCGTTTTCGAAGTACATTGAGCGAAGAAGTTTAGAACTTACGATCGACGCAATGTGCTTGCGCCATGAAATGCATGCTATATTTAAATGATATATTACCCTAGATATTAACGATTAATTTTACAGGAAAGTTTAAGAACTTATATAATTTTTACATAAGGAGCTTCTTGCGCAATAACTATGTTAAGAAAATAGCACACATAGATTGATTTCACTTTTCTTTTTGCACAGTGTATGCTCGAGAAGTGTTTGTCTCAGCCAATAGCGTGCGTGCACCTTTCGTTGTATGCGTGAATTATGCATGCATAAGATCTTTAAAGTATGTATGTATGTGTTGTTATTCACTGCTCTGGCTTTAGCTGGCAAGAAATTATTTTGGTAGTTTTCTAGCGCAGATCATGACCTATCCCAAATTTATGTTGATATATGAATGCATTTTGTGTTCTGAAGTTGGCTCCGCAGAAAATACCCGAAGGTCATATTTAGTTATGACCCCATTATTATTATAATGGTCTCCTCGCGGTGTTCCCTGCGTACTTTGTTCTTTATAATTCGAACAACAAAAATAATACAATAAAAAAAAAATTTATAAAATGTATCTTTGAAAAAATAATAATTTAATTAATAATTTCATATAAAAAATTACGTAAATATTTGCATCGACTTAAAAATACAAATTTTTTTGTACGGAGCCAACCCCAGTACACACAATGCATTCATATATCAACAGAAATTTTGAGTAGGTCGTGATCTGCGCTAAAAACTAAGAAAATTGTTTCTATGCCAGCCAGAGACTTTGCCAGGGCAGTGAATAACAACACATTCAAATATGCTGTTATGTATGTATATTCACACGCATACAAACATAATTGCTTGCACGGCCCTCATAGAGCCGAAGCTGAGAGCAAATTCCATTTTTAGCTTTTTCGTTCTCTCGGCTGTGAGAGCGCAATGCTACAAATTTCGTTTTCGTTCTCAATTTTCGAAAAATCAAGCTGCATAGTAGCATTTTGTTGTATGGCGTTACTCATCTTAGTGTTTATATTGTCTTTGGTATTACCTTGTCAGGAACTCTGGGCTAGAGGTCTTAGCTTGTTATTATACCTAATTTTTAAAAAACGCGCTCAGCTAAGATCTATGAACTGAGCGAGAGAAATCAGAGTTATTTCCCGATTCCTTAATATGGTATAGTATCACGATTTCAGGCCAATCAGTCACCCATGTGCACAAAAATTTACCCAAAATAAATGGATATCTATATCCATTTTTATCGATTGCTTTAAAAACTGAGTAAGTTATCGATTATCGGAAACAAATACGATCTCTATTGTCCGTTCTTAAAGTACACCATAGATTTGCTAGAAGCTTAGACTTTTTAGACGACATTGAAGGTGGTTGCAGGCACACCTGATGAAGCAGATTTCTTGAAGATCAGAATCACCGAGACGCAACTAGTAGAGTCCAGGCTCGACCAAACTCTGGTTCGCAGTTGGTGTGATCTTGAATGTTGGACTAATCGGCTCATTCACCTTTTTCTGGTACTAAGGAGAAGACAAGCCTCTATGGAGATACAGAAGGCCTTTGACAACTTATGCCCATGGACGGTCATCATACTGAGGGTGGGTAGTTAACAGCTAAGTTAAATATTGCACAATGTATCGCCCCAGTTTTTAAGTAGCTTTGCATGAAAATGCTGATGCGACACATTTGAGTTCAGCGCTCTGCGCTAAGAACGACCAACAGTGGTATGCTGACACTTAATATTCAAAGTGAAGCGCTGCGCTGTATGGAATGCTAAGTCGGCTTGCCGACCATGACTTTGTGGCGTGATGCATTGTCGCTTAGGGCATAATTTACTTATTGTAAACCCCAATAGTTCAGTTTTATATGCATCGAGCAACACTCTGAAACTGCTCCGGCATTGCCGATAAAACAAATCTTTTATTATTGTCTGAGCCCAAGCCCAGCAATAGAAGAACATAATCTTCAGTAATATTACTGGATCAAGGAGAAAATATTTGGATTAAGGCAACTAACTCAGGATAACATTGTGTGACATCGCAGGACATACATTAATCAGTAATTTATATGTACACATACACATTCAGCCGCATCGATATTCAATTCCATTAACATCATTGCAAATGCGATTGTATTGTTTTCTGTACTGCGTGTAGTGTGCTTCTATTTTAATTGTTTTTTTTTTTTCAGTATCGATTAGTTGTTGTTTTGGCTGTTGAGTAAAGGCGCTTGCAAACGTCTGAGTCTGATTGAGGAAGCAACTTGTTTTTTGTCAGGGTATTACCAAAGACAATATAAATACTAAGATGAGTAACGCCCATACATTTGAATGCGACGCAAAATTTCTAGCCTGGCCTTTCATCTGGCCTTTGAGGCTTCGTACAGCATGCCTGCCGACTGGTTGTTCGTTCTCCAAAAACCAGACGAACGAATGCCGAAGTCGCGGCTTGCTGATGCTGACACGAGCTACGAAGTTAGTCGCCAGCCTGCCTTCAGCAAAGCTGGTCGATGCTGATTTGCGTCGCTTCGTTTTCGAAGTACATTGAGCGAAGAAGTTTAGAACTTACGATCGACGCAATGTGCTTGCGCCATGAAATGCATGCTATATTTAAATGATATATTACCCTAGATATTAACGATTAATTTTACAGGAAAGTTTAAGAACTTATATAATTTTTACATAAGGAGCTTCTTGCGCAATAACTATGTTAAGAAAATAGCACACATAGATTGATTTCACTTTTCTTTTTGGACAGTGTATGCTCGAGAAGTGTTTGTCTCAGCCAATAGCGTGCGTGCACCTTTCGTTGTATGCGTGAATTATGCATGCATAAGATCTTTAAAGTATGTATGTATGTGTTGTTATTCACTGCTCTGGCTTTAGCTGGCAAGAAATTATTTTGGTAGTTTTCTAGCGCAGATCATGACCTATCCCAAATTTATGTTGATATATGAATGCATTTTGTGTACTGAAGTTGGCTCCGCAGAAAATACCCGAAGGTCATATTTAGTTATGACCCCATTATTATTATAATGGTCTCCTCGCGGTGTTCCCTGCGTACTTTGTTCTTTATAATTCGAACAACAAAAATAATACAATAAAAAAAAAATTTATAAAATGTATCTTTGAAAAAATAATAATTTAATTAATAATTTCATATAAAAAATTACGTAAATATTTGCATCGACTTAAAAATACAAATTTTTTTGTACGGAGCCAACCCCAGTACACACAATGCATTCATATATCAACAGAAATTTTGAGTAGGTCGTGATCTGCGCTAAAAACTAAGAAAATTGTTTCTATGCCAGCCAGAGACTTTGCCAGGGCAGTGAATAACAACACATTCAAATATGCTGTTATGTATGTATATTCACACGCATACAAACATAATTGCTTGCACGGCCCTCATAGAGCCGAAGCTGAGAGCAAATTCCATTTTTAGCTTTTTCGTTCTCTCGGCTGTGAGAGCGCAATGCAATTGATTTCGTTTTCGTTCTCAATTTTTAAAAAATCAAGCTGCATAGTAGCATTTTGTTGTATGGCGTTACTCATCTTAGTGTTTATATTGTCTTTGGTATTACCTTGTCAGGAACTCTGGGCTAGAGGTTTTAGCTTGTTATTATACCTAATTTTTAAAAAACGCACTCAGCTAAGATCTATGAACTGAGCGAGAGAAATCAGAGTTATTTCCCGATTCCTTAATATGGTATAGTATCACGATTTCACATTTGTTCTCTCGTAAGTTCCCCTGAGAACCAGGCAGGCCAATCAGTCACCCATGTGCCCAAAAATTTACCCAAAAAAAAGGATATCTATATCCATTTTTATCGATTGCTTGAAAAACGGAGTATGTTATCGATTATCGGAAACAAACTCGATCTGCGTAGGAGCACCTACATCTAAAATTTCAAGTCTACAGCTCTTATATGTTCTGAGATGCTTTCGTTCATACATACGGACGGACGGACAGACAGACGGACGGACAGACAGACGGACATGGCTAGATCGACTCGGCTATTGATGCTGATCAAGAATATATATACTTTATGGGGTCGGAGATGCTTCCTTCTGCCTGGGTTCAGGGTAGAAAAAGGCAGTTCAGGGTTTAAATTGTTTGGCAATAAAAGTTGGGTTATTAACTTGATTAATAGCTCTAGGGTGGTAGCGGGGAGGTGGCGATACGTATGAAATGAAAGATACTTGAAATATCTAGAATATTCTAGAAGCAACATATCATGCTTGGTGGCTCTAGCTCTTATTATTTACCCAATTTGCTGACGGACGGACAGACAGACGGACATGGCTAGATCGACTCAGCTATTGATGCTGATCAAGAATATATATACTTTATGGGGTCCGAGATGCTTCCTTCTGCCTGTTACATACATTTGGATATTGCACAAATAAAATATACCCTTATACCCATTTTTAATGTGTTCAGTGTATAAAAAAAGACATAAACAACATGCTGTTAAGGATATATTCACAAATTAAATTGTTTAATAAACAAAGCACAGCATATACTCGTGATAAGACAACGGTTCCCCAATAAAATAAATTCAAATTCAATATGAAATTAGAGATTTAATAAAGTGTTAAGGGTTTTAATATAAATAAAAAAATAAACAATCCTCATCGGAAAAGACTGCATAATTTTTTTTTCAAATTGTGTTATGATATCCTGGTTACATTTAAGTATTAAAAAAAATAAAGTAGATAGATTAATGAATATGAATACTATACCTTAAGAGAAATCACTGCACGTCCAATAAGTTCGTTATCATGTTTTCCAGAAGAAGCAGTAACGGCAATTTCCTTCATTAGCTTACTAAGGCCTTTGACGCCTTTGACATCCAAAAGTTTATTAAACTTGTCTTTGATAGTTTCCGCAGCATCAAAATCCCTAAATAAATTGTGCCGAATTAATATATTGGGAGTGTTTTTTAATAGCTCTGTCGCAGCTCTATGGGTAACAAGACCAAATGACAGTAAGGTGCACAATTATTATTAACTTAAAACATTTTTTATAACCAATTAAATAAACAATGAGCATCGTATACTCTAATAAATGGCTAACACATCCATGTGCAACTAAACGATATATACCTTGAGAGCATCCATTCTGTCCAGCCACTGCTCCTGATACAATTTACTATTTAGCTTGTAAAGTATATAAATTAAAAGTATATAATATATATATATATATATATATATATATATATATATATATATATATATATATATATATATATATATATATTTTTTTTTTTAATTTGAATTGAAAAATTTCGATATTTAATTTTTGTGATAAACAACAAACAAATCACACAAGGAATGATAAGAAAAATATGATGGCCACTTTTTATGGTTTATTAAAGCAACTAAAAACAAACAAATAATTCACGCTTTTAAATTGTAAGCGGTACTATTCGACTTATAATGTAATACTATTCTATGTGTATGCATATCAAAACATGGGTAATGTATAAAAAAGATATCTAGAAAGTTTAAATTGGTTGTCAGTATTAGTGACTGCTGCATGTCTGGCTCATCATTAAAATAAAATAACAACTATATATATATATTTAAATAATAACTATATATATATATATATATATATATATGTCTGGCTCATCATTAAAATAAAATAATAACGCGCCCTTCTTTTTAATGATTTTGAATGAAATTTGAGTAAAAATAAATATCTTTAAAATATTAAAATATACCAAATTAAAAAAAAAGGAGCGATTAGATATTTATAGTTTTAATAATTTTGGTGATCAGTCACTTGACCTCTATATGCAGGTGCTTGCCAAAAGTTGACCTATTCGACCCAACGAACTGCTGCAGGTAATAAGGGGTCAACATTCAATCATCAAAATCTCAAAATAAGGGCGCGCGTCAGACGCGAGCCAATAATGTATTTTCTTTTGCGCCCATGATCAGCCCATTCACAGACATTTGTATGTGTGTGTCTGTGTGTAAAGGGCCAAAATCAGAAATCTTAAAATCTTGTTACATTTGCATCGGGGACAGGCAGGCAGGCAAGCAACAGGCACACAAGCGCATAAATGCTTCTATTCATACACAAAATATGCAAGTATGCGTGTATAGCGAGTCCAAAATATTCTAAATGCACACATGTCAACGCTTGGGTACCCTTACCAACGATAGCGAGCTAAAATGCCAGAATTTCGCATCGACGTGGCAAACCCTTTCTCTATTTCATATTAGCCGTGCCTTCAAAAGGGTAGAAATGCCTCAGCATTTGGGAAAAATTGAATTTGTGCGCAGTTTTGCTCGTCGGACAAATACACACACACACACATTGAAACGATCCCTAAACATAGAGAGAGCATTGAGAGCTGAGAGTAAGTGCGAGCGAGATTAAAGTTAACAGCGTTGCCGTTCTATCGCTTAAATCATATGGAAGAGAGTGCGCCAAGCACTTTCCTGTAGAGTAAGCTGTTCAAAAATACATCATATGTATATCTTACTCTCTTACTCGCGAGTTGGGACCAGATGCCTCCGATACTTTTTGCGACAACGCTGTTTGTATGGGATGTCCAGTCTATATGTTGTTTGGTTAGTGTATATACGGATATTGTTAAGTCGAATTGGATACTTTTACGAATTTAATTACATTTCTTTTTGTTAAAATAATATTTATTCCTTTTGTAAAAATATAATATTCATTGAAAGTAATTCATTAGTGCAATTACACAGCAATTGTTGGTTTTCATAAACTAAGGATAACAATATAGATATTGAAAACTTTAAAAATAGTTACCCTAGTATAACACAATGCAATATAAGTAAACAAAGACTTATTTAAACTTACCAAACTTCAATAATTAGAACTTCCTCACGAGGACCTTCAATAATTGGCCTATAACAAATTTTAGAAAAAAACAGTTTATTTTGACATATTAGTGAGATTGGTTATTTTAATTTTGATGTTAGAAAAATGTTATCCAACAAAGAGTTTTGTGGCCCCATATTACTATTCTTGAGTATATTTTCATTTACTTTACTAAATCGAACATCACATAAAATTATTTAATTAAAATTATTTATATAACTAAAATAAACTTACAATGAAAAATGTTCCTCCCATATAGGATTCAATGTAGACATTTTTACGGATGAGTTATAACGGTGCGAACTGTTTGATTCCAAGTATAATGTTACAAATGGATCTGATAATCCATTTGAATCCTTTGAAAGTAAATTTTCTGCTTTTATGACTTCAACATTTAGTCTTAGGTTAGGTGGTTCCTTCATCCTGGCAATTTCAGAAATTTCCAAGTGAGTTGAATTAGGTATTTTGAAAACGTCCTGTGCAAACTCCACCAGGCTTTTTGTACCAACATCACTAGTCTCACAACCAATGTTGTTGTAAATTTCAAACAGAACCTCTTCGTACAAGTCCTCAATCTATGAAAAATAAACTGTGAATAATATAAACGTGCTTTCTTAATTTTCATAATTATGGAACCTATATTAAATAATATTTACTAAATGAACTCTGTACTATTTTAACCGTCGGAAAGGACATATCATGATAATCAAACAAATTTCATAGATCCGCTTTCAACAAGTTGTTCACAATATTTTGTTCTGATAATATTTTGTACAGCACCGTCTTAATGTGCATTTATAACTCATAAGAAATCTACAGCAAAAATTACGCTTTTAAGCTCTTACGGATTTAGCTATCAGTAATAACCAACAGCTTTTTATACCCTGAACCCATTAAAAATGGGTATAAGGGTATATTGTATTTGTGCGAAATCCAAATGTATGTAACAGGCAGAAGGAAGCATCTCCGACCCCATAAAGTATATATATTCTTGATCAGCATCAATAGCCGAGTCGATCTAGCCATGTCCGTCTGTCTGTCCGTCCGTCCGTCCGTCCGTCCGTATGTATGAACGCAAGGATCTCAGAACCTATAAGAGCTAGAGACTTAAGATTATAGATTTAGATGCTCCTAGATCCCGCGCAGATTGAGTTTGTTTCCGATAATCGATAACTTACTCCGTTTCCAACCAATCGATAAAAATCGATACCGATATCCTGTTTTTTGGGCAATTTTTGTAAATAATAAGAGCTAGAGTCACCAAACTTGACATATAAGTAGTTTCTAAAATAGAATATATATATGCATTTGATGTTGGAAGAAGAGGGTTCAGGGTATACCCTAGTCGGGAGTTTCCGACTAGAACTTCTTACTTGTTTTTTTCTTTTTTTGATTTAGCGAAAAATTCGAAAGAAGTCCCAAAAGATTTCTTATACAGATTCTTGGAAATAAATTTCAATTCGAGACTTCACCCACCAAATCCATAACTTAAACTTATGCCTAGGAAAAATGAAATTTTCCGAAATGTGTGAGACGGCCCTAAAATGAATATGAACAAAGAACTTTGAAAATGAGTTTAAGCGATAGAATGGTAAACATAAAGTTTTATATATATAATTTGAATAATGTTAGTTATAACTTCTATTGACTTCCATATCTCACCCAGAGTTATGTGAAAAGTTTACAATTTGGACAAATTGCTTAAAAATAAGTTTTAAGCCGGCAGAATGGTAAAAAAATGGTTTTATGCAACCATTCCCCCAAATTTTCCACTTTTGCATTACAACAGATAACTTTAGTAAAAAACTCAGCTTGTTAACCCAGAATGTATATTTTTGTCCAAACGTATCTAACATGCAGAAGGAAGCATTTTCCACCGTATATATATTCTTGATGAGCATCAATAGACAAGTCTATCTAGCCATTTCCGTCTGTCTGCCCGATCGATAACTTACCCCGTTTCCAAGCAATCGAAGAACCCATAAATAAATCCTGTTTTTAATCAAATACCGCGGGTTATAAGATAAAAAGTCACTACATTTGATATGTATATGAATAAAATTAATAAATTATTCAAACTGCGCACCTATTTAAGCTACAATTTTTGAGAATATGTGAATTTCTCTAGTACAATAAGGTCTACATTTACAATATTTAGCAAGATCGGTTATGAAACATATAAATTACATGCGTTACGTATAAAATAAACGTTCTCAAAAAGTTTTGAAAATGATTTTGAAACTGATCGGACGGTAAATAAACAACTTTCATACAAACGTTTTCCTCTAATTTAACACTGTTGTTTTCCATATCATTAAAACACGTATTCATTAAGTTTTTATGCATAGCTTTAAAAAAAATTTTGAAGCAAATCGAAAAAAATTAAACCATCACCAAAAATAACTTTAAATTGCATTTTTATCGAGGATGCTTTAATTCTGCCAAAAATGTGAAACAGGTCTCAAATGATTTTTCTTATGGATCCTTGGAAATGAAATCCTTTACACCCATTTCCACCAAGAAAGGATGGATTTTCAAAAAAATGTGAAATATCCCCCAAATGAATTTAAACAACAATTTTTAAAACGGAGTCTGAGGTTTACAAAAATGTTTCATACCAACGTTCTTCGCTAATTAACCATTGTTGTGCGTGGGATTTCCCAAATCGCTGAACCACGTATTTATCACGTTCTCATGTAGAGCTCTGAAAATAAGTTTGAAGCAAATCAGACACAATTTACAACTGCGCCCAAAAACTCTTTGAACCGCATTTCGACCGAAGGAGTTAAGATTTTGTGAAAAATGTGAAACACGTTTCAAATGATTTTTCATATAGATCGTTGAAAATTTATTTGAGCGCAAAACCTCATCCTCCTCCTTGCCTTCTATTTTCAGCAAGGAGGAATAAATTTTTGAAAAAGTTTGAAACACCCTCCAAATGAATTTGAACAAAGAAGAAGATGGTAAACAAAAAAGTTCCATGCAAACGTTTTTCGCGATTTTGTTTATAATGCACCTTGATCACATTAGGTAAATACAGTTAAAATTGAAGCTTCCTAGCCCTTACGGTTTGGGCTGTGCGTAGATTACAAACAGTCAGTCAGGACAAACAGTTTTATATATAGAGATTAAAGAAAACGTGTGGAAATGTTGGTAATTATGTATGAATTGTAATTGTATCTTATGATATTATAATTTAGTTTATTTTTAACTAAACAAATTTCTTGGTATGCCAGTTTAGTATAAGGATGTGGCAAGAAGCTCGGTCTTTCCCCCTAAAGGGGGAATTTATCTTCTTTTTTACGAGTTCGAACCATAGAAAAGGAATGATATGTAGTTCGAATGTTTCTTTTATCCCTTTACCCATTCTGTGAATGAAAATGCTAAACATCAATTGGTGCAATCGTTCCTTATTCATATATACGCAGAGAAATGTTTTTCCTTACAACTAGGCATACTGGCAGCACAGCAAGTCCTGAATGTCGCTGTGGAGTATCTTCACATGCACGTTTGTGCACTATGATTTGCACGTTCTGAATGTAAGATTTTTATCGACCTCTAGCACACTGTACTGTTAGTAAGCACTCAACACTGAAGGCCAATCTATACGCTACACAACACAGTCGGGCCATGCTAGGCAGAGATAGCTTCTACCATTTCATGGTTTCGCATTTTAAGATTATGGAAGAAATGTCAGAATCTTGTTGCTGTTCTGCTTGAAGCCAATCGTTGGTTATCTCAGCTAGGTTTATGCGCATTTCACCCGTTTTCGCTAAGATTTTATAATTGCCCTCTTTGCGCTCTAGCTTGTGGTTTCATTAGAAATGAAGGAATTGGTGGGAAGTTTAGGTATAATCGTGAACTGTCGCACCTTAGAAGGGGAGTCGTTAACCACTGACTGCCCGCTACCATCGATAATCGCTGATGCAGTGTTGTCGGCGTTCAACGATACACTCACTGGCCAGCGGCGGGCCTAGTGGTCAGCTATAGCTCGATGCATCGGCTAAGAAATTGGTACGCCTGCACGAGGCGTACGTTGCAATTGCGGCAGCCTGCCCAATAATAAACAATTAAATTCAAGTCACTTGTTTCGCGCGGATCGGATTATAAAATTATATATATTTTAGGCTTAGGCCTAACATGTCGGGGTTGTTTGCAAAATTCAGTTGTCGGACAGAATGAATAGCGGAGAAAGAAAATATACGAAGCTGTGTTTCTACGTACCAGACCCTAGGCCTGAGCAAAAACGCTTTCCGTTGGATATGCGTGTAAGCACTTGCGTGCTTGTCTTTCTTCCTTCCTTCCTTTTTACTACTTGGGTAAGTTGCATTATTTTACTGGATTTCATATAATCGTGCGCAAAACTGGTCTGGATTTGAACAAAATGTTTTTTTGTTTGTGTTTGATAATGATACAAGCAAATCGGCGAGCACACAACAAATTTTAGACACCAATCGCTTGGAAAGCATAAAAATATTTATAAAGGCCCCGTTGACACCGATGTGCAACATGATGCGAGTGAAGAGGCATCAGTTTCGTCAATTATTGAAATTGTAATGACATATGGCAGGCCCTTTATGCTTTTGGACAGCGAAGGGGTTCGCAAAATTTTAATCCCAATTTATAGTGCTTTGTCAATGACGCCAATTTCTACCCGTAACATACTGCATTATGTGAACATTAAAGAACAGTCCATCATAATTAAAGATAAAAATTTGTATCTTTAAACATCTTGTGCACTGTGGTGCGCACACACTTGAGCATAGTTGATGTACCCAAGAAAAAAAAAAGGTTGTCGAGAAACTTCATACTTGTCGCAAATTGTGCAAAATTCTGCGTATATATATATATATATATATATATATATATAGTGACATATCCAGCATAAGCACAAGTATAAACATTTCTAATATTGTAAACAAAGAGCCTGGTGATAACATCGACATTGGTCAAGATCAAACTGTTCCCCTTTGGTAGACATAAACAATTCACCCCAAATATAACGCCACTGTTAATGTTCCCATCAGAGCACTATCCAATGCATAATTGCTGACGCAGCTCAAGCTTCACTCAATTTTGACTCAAGCTCTCTCAAAACGAAGTTTGCTAAGCGACCTCAAGAGTTAGATAAATCAGTTCATGTTCAGGAAGCAAATCTGAATGTACTCAACAAAAGTAGCCGTTAGTGAAAATAATAAAGTGAAATATTTTTTTATACCCTGAACCCATTAAAAATGGGTATAAGGGTATATTGTATTTGTGCGAAATCCAAATGTATGTAACATGCAGAAGGAAACATATCCGACCCCGTAAAGTATATATATTCTCGATTAGCATCAATAGCTGAGTCGATCTAGCCATGTCCGTCTGTCTGTCCGTCCGTCCGTCTGTATGGACGCAAGGATCTCAGAAGCTATAAGAACTAGAGACCTAGAGATCTAGAGAGAACTAGAAATTTTAGATGTAGGTGCTCCTAGTTCCCGCGCAGATCGAGTTTATTTCCGATAATCGATAGCTTACTTCGTTTCTAAGAAATCGATAAAAATCGATATCGATATCCTATTTTTTTTGGCAA